CCTCAGGGATGCTTCCTGAACCTCAGGGATGCTTCCTGAACCTCAGAGCCACACAGTATGAGCAGTTTTTTGGTGATACCACGTTTCTGCTGCTGGTGGAGCTTCAGTTTGCCTAAGCACGGATGTTCTAACCCGCCTCTGATCGTCAGCCGTGACAAAGCTTTGTAGAATAATTTCAGCTCACACTAAGACACCAGCGCCACACTGATTTCCACCGACGGGGTCTGCTCATGTTACCTTTGTACAGGTCATCATACCGACGTGCTGCATTGTACTGTGTCCTGTATATACTGTGTTCTAAGTGCAATATCGTACTCTGAGTGTAGACTGTGCGAGGCCTTTATTTTCTTACTTCCTGTTGTATTTTTAACTCCTGTTTAGGATATAAAGCACTCGTATTGTGTACGTTGATCAGGTGGTGCGTTCGCTGCCCCTCGCCTGGTTTGATTTGCATGTGATGTTTTCTTGCTCCGTTGTGACAGACCACTCAGTAACGTGTTCAGTGTTTCTCTCTGGCTGCTGATGACTGCACGGTACGGCCAATCGGATGTGACGGCATCGCGCTGCTTGCGGACTTCCAGCTTGGCTGAAAGAACGTGCGACAAATCATAAATATGCTTCAGGTGACAGTGCAAAGGAATAAAGACCGTTTGATCACTTCATGACTGCTGAGCTGCTTTTTGTTTGCATTTGAAAATAAAAATGTTCCCAGAGAGCGATGAGAGTTTGTCACTGACTCAGACACGGGTCCACATCAAGTGATATTCAGGTGTTTCAGGGCGAGTGGCCCACACCACCTTTGCTGGTGTGTTATGGAAAAGGGGGCTTTAAAGGAAACTTACACATTTCACTGGGAAAGGAACATAAAGGGGGGGGGGGGGGGGGCACAATTTGAGGCATCATCAACAGGTGTACACATGGTGTCAGAGGCTCACAACCCTCTGTGTGTGAGATAGAAACTCATGTTTTGGGAGTAAAAGACGTTTTTGTTGGAAACAAAGAGAGACCCGCTCCTGTCTGGAAGTTTGGTGAATGTGAAGCTTTTAAAAAAGAAAAAAGAAAAATCCCAGCTCTTCTTCTTCACTTTTAAATTTTATTGCCCCCCCCCTCCTATGATATCTACAACGGCGCCTGCAGAGGTGAGTCTAGATGGTTTACACTGGTTATGACGTTTTTAGCCGTTATCATCATTGAAACCATTATCAGCTGGGTCATGACACATTCTGGGTGATACGTGAGTTAGAGCAAGAAGTGTGTTAAAAAAACAGATTGTCCCAAATCAGATTATATATTAACTGGTATCTACACACCACCAACATACGAGATAACTCACAGGAAGTGCCTCCAGCCGCTGATCATTGATATGTTTTGTGTCCGTGTTTATAATAATAGTCCGTAGTCAGCAGTATAAAAGAAGCAGTTATGTAATAAATGAAAAGTGATTTTAGAAATATCCCTGTGACTGCATTATTCTACCTATTCTGTGTTTTACATCATAATCAGTTCTTTATATAAGAACTTTTGGAAAAGTCGTATTTAAAAATGGGAATTTCTCAGATTTCTGGTGGCGGGGGTCGGGGCAAGCAGGGGGTTTTTTCTTTTCAGGTGAATTTCCATTTAGTGTCAGAATTTATTCTGAATGAATAAATAAATACATTTTTAAATAATTAAATGAGTCAATAAAAGTTAGAAATAATTTATTAAATGTTTTAAATTAAATGAATAGGCATTTAATTAATTATTGAAAGATTTAATTCATTAATTCCAATTCGAATTGATAAACGAAACAATAATTATCTAATGGCGTATTCAATCAATTCCTTTTGTCACTCCTGGCCCTCCATAATCCTCCTCCGTGACGGCGGCGCGCGTGAACTCAGTGGCGCCAGGACGAAGCTCTTTTTTCCCAAATGCTCCTGAACGCAGCTAGGACGTATGCCAATGGGCGTGGTTAAAGTGCTTCCCGGCATCAACTTCCGGGAAAACAACGTGAGTCGGGTGTCCCCCACATGTTTGTAAGATGCGAGCTTTTCACGGCTCGGTTTGTGCGTTTGGCTTGATTTAGACTCCCGGGACGTCGCGTCGCTGCTTTAGAGCGGAAGTGTGCTCTTCCTCCTCTTCCTCTTTTGAGGAGTTTGTGGTGGTTAGCCGCAGAGTTAGCGGCTCCTCCGCTGCCGGCTCTCATTCTCGTCACTCCGTGTTTCAGGGACTTATCTGACAGGTCCAACCGGTGACCGTTGGTCCGTCCGTGCTTTGGCGCTGTGGCTAACATCATTAGCAGGTGAAGGTGGGCTTGTTGTCGGTGTTCACGATGGGACACACCAGCCTGGAGAAGATCATCTCCCTGCAGAGAAACCCAGCCAACATCAGGAACCTGTGCATCCTGGCTCACGTTGATCACGGTGGGTCAAAGTTATTTAGCATTTATCTCAGTTCTCACGTGAGTCACTGTGGGAGGATAAACAAGCACAACGAGCCAAACTCGATCGAAGATTTAACTGAATTGCTGTTCGGCGGGACTGCCGAGCAGGTAGAGTATGAAGAAGGGGAGCTCTTTAATCGTTAGAGCCCAAGTTAATATTCGGCACACTTTATTTACTTACAGCCAGCTGCTGAGTGGCAGCCCCCCCCCCACACACACACACTGGGATGCAGGATTTGGCGTGATGTATAAAGTGACTGACATCAGCAGCATCACTGTGTTCTCATATCTAATTACAGCTATACTACTCAAGACTTTGAAGCTTTATTAACACTCACATTTTACAGATGTTCTGTATTCATTTATTTAAAAGTGTTAAACACTGATTCTGTTCCTGAGGGTTTCTGCCAGGATGTCTTTAAGTTTCTGCCTGTTTTCAGGTAAAACTACTCTGGCGGACTGCTTAGTGGCGAGTAATGGCATCATATCCAGTCGACTGGCGGGGAAGGTTAGTGACTGTTGGCTGCAGAGTTTCTTGGGCAGGTCGGAGCAGGTTTCTCACTCTTTTTTCTTTGCTGCATCTTCACAGCTGAGGTATCTGGACAGCCGGGAGGATGAACAGCTCCGAGGAATCACCATGAAGTCCAGCGCCATCTCCCTGCACTACTCACACGGTAACGCTCCTTTGTTCGGCGGGGTTCACTTCACCTCGGGACTAACCCCGTGCTGTTCGTCCGACTGGCTCATGTATCTGTGTGCAGGGGGCGCTTCTGCATCCAGTGCATGTTCTCCCCGTGTGTGCGTGGGTTCTCTCCCACAGTCCAAACACATGCAGTTAGTGGCGGTGGGTTAACTGGTGATTCTAAACTGCCCACAGCTGTGAATGTGAGTGGTTGTCTGCGTGTTGTCCTCTGTGATGGTGGCGACCTGCTCAGGCTGTGCCCCGCCTCTCGCCCTATAACAGCTGTGATAGGCTCCAGAATTTAACTGTAAAAACGCCCCCGTGTGGTCGTCCTTCACCTGTGCTGGACGCTGATGTGTTGTTTGATGCTAACTGCCCTTCTGTGTTTGTGTGCCTCGTCTCAGGAGATCAGGAGTACTTGCTGAATCTGATCGACTCTCCGGGTCACGTCGACTTCTCCTCAGAAGTTTCCACCGCCGTCCGGCTGTGCGACGGAGCTGTTGTAGTTGTCGATGCGGTGGAGGGAGTGTGTCCGCAGGTAAATCTGCTACCTTGCTGTTCCAGAGATGCGCTTTAAGGACGAGAAATGTCATTTACTGTGGATTCGGTTTTCGGAAGTTCAAGGAGCTCGGAAAGAAAAGCGTCTGGACTTTCTTGAAGATGTTCCACCTCTCTGAGAAGCTTCTGTAAGAGCAGTTGGTGGAGAGGCCCAGATTTTCCCTAAGACGTCCTCCTAGGGATTTCTTATCCGTGACCCTCTTGGGACACCAAGTCTGGGACTCTCCGCCACCAGAGCGAGTTTTAGATTCTTGACTGGAGATTTGTGATTGGCTGAACCTCAGCCTCCTGAGATACTCACAGAGCCACTCAGGTCATCATCATAATGTAACAGAATAAGTGCCCATAAATACACGTTAGTGTGTAATTACATCTTCCAACAAGTTGATGCATTTTCATCAGCAGAACCGTGATCGCAGCCGGAGCCAGTTTTGGTGAAGCCGCCATGTTGAGTACAGGGACAGATGGACGCCAACGTTCTGCCCGGTCATGTTTTACACATGTGGCTGGAGACAGTCATCATACGGCTTATAAGTTACTTTCAATTTAAACATCACAGACGGCTTTCAGACTATATCCGACTGTTTTTGCACATGTTCCGTTTGTCCTTCTCCCACACACACCTCCACCATCATCCTGATCGTCCCGCCTTCAGACATCACATGAGTCCAGCTGTGTTTGGTCCACTTTCCTGCTGGCTGACAGATGCTGACAGATGCTAACAGCAGCACTTACTGACAGGGACTCCTCAGCAGTCCATCTCAGTATCGCTGTCATCAGAAGTGAGCTTCTCTGAGATCAGCAAGAAATGTGACTAAAACCAAACCGTCGTTATCGCCCTCTGCTGCTACTTCAGTACAGTTTATGACGCAGTCTTGATTTCTAACTAAGGTGTTTCACCACGAGCTCTCAAACGCAGGTGTGTGTGTGTCAGACCCAGGTTGTGCTGCGGCAGGCGTGGCTGGAGAACATCCGGCCGGTTCTGGTCATTAATAAGATTGATCGGCTCGTGGTGGAGCTGAAGCTAACGTCTCAGGAAGCTTACACTCACCTGAAGAAGATCCTGGAACAGGTGAGGACCCGGCTCTGTCAACCACGTTTTACCGTCTCTAACCAACACCTGCTGAGTCGTACGCTTCGTGCACCGCCGTGATTTGTCCTTGCAGGTGAACGCCGTGACGGGAACTTTGTTCACATCTAAAGTTCTGGAGGAGCGAGCGGGGAAGGAGGAGGAGGAGAAAGAGGGCGAGAAGTCGAGCGGAGACCAGGTTTACGACTGGAGCGCCGGGCTCGAAGAGGTCGACGACTCCCACCTCTACTTTTCTCCCGACCAGGGAAACGTGGTGTTTGCCAGCGCCATCGACGGCTGGGGCTTCAGGTGAGGCGGCGTCGATTCACGGAGGGAGCAAAGCTTTGTTTGCAGGCTGCAGGACGCAGAACATGAACTGAAAGACTCCGGTGCCGCGGCTCAGCCGGCTCGTGAGGCCATGATAGTCATGCTGGTGTAAATTAACTGACCGGAGTCACTTTTAGGGCCACAGTTTGGTTTGAGCACAGGCGTCGGTGCTGTTGGAGTTACAGATTCTTCTGTGCAGAGAGACATGAGCCTTTAATGCAGATGTGCATATATAAGCATAATATACAGCAGTGCAGGAAGAGTCTTCATTAAAACCCTCACGCAGAATAAAGGTGCACGCAAACCAGAAGGACAGGTGAGTGCAGGTGAGTGCGGTCAGGTTTGTTTCAGTCTAAACAGAAGCACCAGTTTAGTTTAATAAGGAGAGTTGTGTGTACATGTGTGCACCCTGTGGGCTGGGTGCAGTTCAGGAAGATCATCCAGCAGATGGCGCCGTTCTTAAATGTAACATGAATACAGACCCAGCTGAGTGTTTGCCTTTCAAAGTAAAATACATTGACCAGATTTATAACTTCGCATGAATTTCAATATAAAATACAACTTTAACCCCGGGCTGATCAGCTGATCAGCCCGGGGTTAAAGTTCACGTCTGTGTCACTGTTAGCCTTTAACAAAACACAAAAAAAGGCTTCTGGATGTTCATGGAGGCTGATTCTGTTTTCCAGCATCCGGCATTTTGCTCACATCTACAGCGAGAGGATGGGCATCAAGGAGGAGGTGCTACTGAAAACCCTGTGGGGAGATTTCTACCTCAGCATGAAAGCCAAGAGGATCATGAAAGGAGCTCAGGTGACACAGCTGGGAGGTTTGTGGCGTAAGAATCGCGTCTGCAGTCAGAGCTTCCTGGGATGATAGTTTCTACAGAGCGCCGCGGTGTTTGAGACCGTGGTAAAGGTGACACGTTTCTGCACATGGACAGAAAAATGTCAGAGACAAGCGAGGACACTGCAGGAGTACAGGCAGCTACGCTTTGCCTCCATCTGAGGAAACGGCGTTCAGGTCATGAAATCATTGGCGAGCCAATAAAAGGAGAGACCAGTCAAAGCTGTCAGGTTTTATTTTAAGACCTTAAAGTCGTTAAGTATCAGCTGGTCTTTGAGTCACAATTGATGAGACGAGCATAATAAAGCAGTTTAACATCAGCTGATGATGTTCTCCACATCACTGCAGCAGGGTTTAATTCATGTAATGCATGTGTCTGTGCACCTCCTGCAGCAGCCTCACCTGTCAGACGTGCACACCTGAAAGGGAGCACAGACGGATGCAGTTAAAGTTGTGATGTAAAGGTTTCCAGTTAAAAACAATGAGAAGCTGAACCTTTGGTATCACCGTGTCGATGAGGTCGTTTGCATCTGTCATCAACATTAAGCCAGGTGTTCAAAGTGGACTTTTATTCCCGAGACAAACGAGACTAAAAGCTTCAGGCAGGTTTAAGCTCAGCTTAACAGACGTGTTTGTACTCGGACACAGCAGGATCAGCGTGAATGCTAAACTCTGTTTATGGCCTTCAAACCTGGACCCGGCCTGTCCACTTAAATGCTTCAATGTTTTATTTGGTGCGTCTCACGGTGAAGTTTAAAGTGCAGCAATTCAGACAAATAATCCACATTCAGGCCAAGTGGGCACACAGCAGCATTAAAAGGAGTTTAACCCCAACTCCACCTAACCAGAGAACCCTGTGGGGGAGCCACACCCCGCAGCCGTTCTCACAGAGGCGGTCCCAGTACTCACCGAGCCGAGCACGCCGCAGTCGAGACCAACGAAGTCGCACTTTAAAAAGATTTGAGTCCAAAATGGCTCAGGCTGAGGAGGCAGCTTAAATAACCAAGACTCAACCTGCCCAGGTGAACGGCATCAGGGTGATAGGCTCCGCCCACCTCTACCCACAGCTAGCCTGCAGTGAAAACGACTCACTGATGGTATAATTACCTTTGGTGTTTTTATTCTTAGCGCCACCATCAGGTCACACTTCAGTCTCGTGCACATGCAAAGAAATAATAACTGTATTTATATTATTTCTTAATATTGCACCTTAAACAGAGCAGGGAAATATTCATTCAATCATAAACGGACAGGTGCAGCCACGTCACGGCAGAAATGTATGAATCGAGGTGAAACTGGAAAAAGAAAGTTTTCAGTGAAGCATTAAAAGATCAGAGCAGAAGGTTTTTGTGCTGTTGGAGCATTTTAATGGCATCATGTGACCAATAATATGGCTGCTGTGAGGTCACTGCACTAACAGGCCGTCCAAGAAGGCGGAGCTTTGAGAGTGAAATTCAAGGATGTCATTTGGATGTCACCGAGCACTGACAGCAGGTCATCTGTGTCTGAGGTCCCGAACGAGCCATTAGGGGGGAACTTCCTGGTATCTGGTGACGGCCACAGAGGTCGAATCACAAAAGTCGGTGATAGCGTTTTTGGATTTGTCCATCTTTTATATACAGTGTGTGTTATGCTCTTCTGCTCCTGCACGGCGAGAGGCTGAAGTCCCGACTGACCCGGCGTGTTTATTGGATTGGGCCGGTACCGGCCACGTTTCCCAGCAGACGCTCGGCTGCCCCCCCCGGGCCCTGAATGATGAGTGTTTTGGTGTGTTTCTGTCTGGCCAGCGCTGCAGCCGTCAGGGGCGAGCGGAGGAGGCGTCAGTGCCTGCAAAACAGAGCAGCGATGGAGGGGCTGACCTCTTATTCATGCTCGCTCGTCATTCACAGGCACGCCGGCCCGTGAATGACACGGAGAGGCTTTTTAGCAGCACACTCACAGGATGGGGATGAGCTGTGTGGGCTGACCTTCTGAATCGCAGCTGGATGCAGTCGCTGTGTGTCTGCAGAAAAACGTCCTCTGTCCTGTCTCTTGGGTGTTTTTTCCGTCTTTTCATGGATATGTCGCCTCATGTTTTAGTGTTGTGTGTGTTTACAGCTCACACAGGCTTCAGTGTGCTCCCCTGTTGATGTTCCTGGTAAAAGCTGGATTTCAGCAGAAGTAGATGAGAAGTGTTGCATCAGTGAGCTTCTCTGATGTTACTTTGTTCATTCGACAATTATAGAATGAAAAGAGCACAAACATGTTACCTGAATAACGACATGAAGTCAGTGAATATTAGTTTAAAGGTGGAGTCGTGCAGTGTTTATGGTGAATGCAGTCAAAGTGGAGTTTGCAGGTCCCTGCATTCTGTCTAGTGTCCAGCAGGGGGCAAGTCCTCTGATTACAGTAAACACTTTACAGTTTATGGTCTCATTTGCTAGTTTGAAGTCTTGTTGAATAAAACAAGATGCTCCTTTTTGAAGTGATGCTCACAGAGAGTAAAGCGGACAATAAATCAGGTCGTGGTCCTGAGCCGGCCTCCGGGCTTCAGGAACCCGTTTGCTGATGCGTGCAGCACGCCATGTTGGCCTTTTAGATTCCTGCACCTCAGACGGTCCACACTCACGGGCTGAGGTGCTCCTGTATTAATGATCCATTTCATTGGGAAGGTTTCAAAGCTGCCCCAGACATCAGTGCAGAAATCACGTAGTGGGCAGGAAGCACGATGGCCAGCATCCAGTAATAAAACGAGGGAAGCTGAAACAGGGGGAGGAGCAAAGGACAAGACGAACACGAGGAGGTGACGCGATGACCTCACAAACACGTCAGGGAGGTGAACGGCAAAAGAGCAAAAACAGAAAACCTTCAAAATAAATCAGGAAGTAAAGA